TGTAAAATTCTTACTTAAAAGATAATGTTTAGTGAAAGTACTTTTTTATTCATAAACATTTATTTAATTCTGTTTTTAGTATTTGTTCTGTAAAAATTTCAACTGTCTAGCTATAACGGTTCATAAGATAGACATTTGTGACAGACGGACGGACAGCGAAGTCTTAGTAATAGGTAATAGGGTTCTCGTTTTTAACCTTTGAGTACGGAACCCTAAAAAGCATTTAGAAATTACAGTAGAAATTCGGCATCTCTTATCAACCGGACAATTCGATATTTAAAAGGCCGCCAACAAAATTCAAAGACAAATTAAAATAAAAAACGGCTTTTTTTCTAATTAAAACGAGCTAGACATGATGGTGACCAACAAAGCCTCGGTGTAGATGTTGGACGATTAAAAGTAATCGTTCTACCAGAAGAACCGATTTACGAAAAAAAAATTATTTCTTCTAGCATTTATGTAGGGGTTAGGGTAGTTTTCACCCTTCTCGTACCGTTTCTATTATTATATGTGAAGGTCAAATTTTAAAGCGACTAGCAAAACATAGACACCCCAAAACTCATTGAAATAGGAATTGAATAGCAATGAAATATGAAATAGTGTTTAAGCAGCGGCGTGGCGTCAATACAAGGGAAAGTCATAACTATGCACTAGTTACGGCAATTTCAATTCTTTAGGTTTTCCCAAATAAAAGCCTTTTTAGGCGAAATATGACTTGAATTTCTATGCCTCTTTCCCGACCTATACAGGTTGGTCCGAATTGTATTCCGGAAACTTCGGCAGCATATTCTGCAGATAAAAATTGGTAAAAAGTTCGTATAAATGTAGGTCCTAAAATGCTTAGTTTCGGAGATACAGAGTGTAGACATTTCATTTTTATTTCGATTCTTTCCAAATAATTTCTGAAGTAACGTCAATATTTAGATGAAAATTGGTGTCTGGGCGTTTTTTGACATGAGAAATTTGATTTTGATGTCAATATGACTCCTACTGGTAGAGGTCGCCACCTACATGTATTTTAACTGTTTTGAAGCGTAATAATTTTTTGTCCGTGCCTGTATAAAACTACCGAGGGAAAAAATATACATCTCTGTGATTTTTTACGTAAAAAATATCTCCTTGTAAAAATCACTACGAGTAACCGTTCTCAAGATATTTAGAATGGAACTAGTCAATACATACCATTATTAACAAAAAATAAATAAGTTGAGTAGATAGTTATTTCACTGAAATGATAAATTTGGAAATTTTAATTTTTTTAAATTAATCATATTTTTCTGCAACAGTTTTTGTTGAACTTTTGGTACAAAAACATTTCAAATTTATGATCTCAGTCTAATAACTAAAAAATTAACATGTTTAATTTATGTCAATGACGATAGGTATTGATAATTTCGATTCCAAATATCTCGAAAACCATTACTCGTAGCGATTTTTACCAAGGTACCTTTTTTACGTAAAAAGCGTCGTAAATGTATATTTTTTTACTCAGTAGTTTTATACAGGTACGGACGAAAAGTTATTATTCTTCAAACCAGTTAAAAAATATGTAGGTGGCACCCTCTACTAGTAGGAGTCATATTGACATCAAAATCAAATTTCTCGTGTCAAAAACCTCCCGAACACCACCCTGTATCTCCGAAACTAAGCATTTTTGGAATATATCTATACGAACATTTTTACTTATTTTTATCTGCAGAGTATGCTGCCGAAGTTTCCGGAATACAGTTCAGACCACCCTGTATATGTTTATTTAAATCATCGTAGTATTCCATACATTTTTCTCGTTGGAAAATCGTAGAGAAGGCCAATAAAAAAAGTTTATTGTGTGCCTTACAACCACATAACCAGTGTTCACTTTAATAAACATTTTCACTAAAATGACGAATACACGATTTTAATTTAGTATTAATACTCAAAATATGTTTCCTTCTTCAATAGTTTTTAATTTTTCTAAATACACCATAGAACTGAAGGATGATTGCAAAATTATTTCTTTTACAGTCGCTCTCAGAATCGGCTATAGCAATGCGCCACGATATTTTTCATTTTATACCGAACAAGATGTGTTTAATAAACCGCATCACGCACCGAGTAAAACAGCGAACGGGAGACGCAATCGTGGCCAGAAAGTTCGCTCTCCTCGGTTCGCGTTCGGTGGCATTGAAGATGTACCAAGGACAATCGTATCATTGCGCTGTCGAGATAATTTTTTTTGTGATTGATCTATTTTTTCTCTTTGACCTTTTAAAATAAAAACGTATTACAATATTTTGAGGGGATGCGACGCATCACCCGCATCAATGGAAGCTTCGCCGGTGTGTTTAAGTATCTCTTTTTATAAGTATTTTAAAAAATGTGTTTATTTTTTTTATTTGGTGCCACTTTTGTAGAGGAATAAATTGTGTCCAAATATTATATTTTGAATCCAAAACTACGTAGCAGTTTTATGTTCAAATAATATTAAACAGTGCGGCCCTGTTGTGGCTAATAAATCCCTTTTATCTGGCGTCACCCTCTTGCACAGATAAACGTCTTTATTTATTCATTCGGCATCCATCCACCATTTACATCCCATTTCCGGTCTCCTACTAGCATCCTTTTCTAGCTACTCAACGCCACTTTATTTCGTAATTTTAAAACGTAAAATTACAGAATTTCTCACCATCTAGGCTACGTTTATACTGAGCGACTTTTGTCGATTCCACACATACATTCAGTCGTTCGCCTCTATTCTAAGCTTCATAAAATCTAAACTTCCAATGCAGCCCAGTATGAACGGTAAATCAAAATACAGTATACAAAGGTTTGAGACCCCGTCCGTCCACACTGAGGGACTTTTATCGACTAAATATAGGGTTGCCAACTGTCCTCTATTCCAGATCTCACTGTCCTCTTTTCTCTCAAGTATTGAAAAAGTCTTCTTTTTTACATACCAAACTCAAAATCTAAAAAATATTTGGCTATCGCAACAGTGCTTTAAAGAATTATTGTTAATTTGTATCTTTCGCTACTTCTCTTGTTTCCCAAGCCAATTCTTATCATTTTTAAACAATTTCACTTAGTTAGCCATGGAAACAAGTTCAATCGTCGTTGCTCTCAGAAATGTGAAACTGTCACATCCAAAATTTGTAAATTAAAATAAAGAAAAATTGTAAATATGAATTTTTCAAATGAAAAAAAGCGTGTAGGATTATTGCTTCAACTTTTCTTGGCCGTACATTTTCGAGGATACGTTGATCGGTGAACGTTACTTACGTTTTTCCGGTTTTCAAGACATGTTAGAAAAGTAAAATTTAGAGACTCGCGCATTAATAGAGTCGTTCCAACATGACTTTCATTATGGCATTCATTATTTCCGAGATACCTATAGAGATCACTGTAGAAAACTCACCCTGTATTTTTAATTAAGACATGAGCGGATAAAGGTGTCATGTCCCTTTTTTATGTTTCGAGTAAATCGACAAAACACGTCTAAAAATTATTGATGTTGTATGTGACATGGCACCTTTATCACCTAGGATATTCTTTCTGTATGGATTAATTCATTTTTGTTTCCTAAAATATTTTGATTAAAAGAAATATGTAAAAGTCGGCAACGCTGTGCTGCTCAAGCTTAATCACGTGTCTAAAAGTTTATTTGGTATGATCTATAGCAGAATAGCATTATGCTATAAGCCCTACGTTCACAGTTAGTATATGCCTCAGAAAATATTATTGGAATTGTTTGTAGACTATAATATATATGAATATAAACTGCAAATAAAGTGTAATTGAAACCACTAATTTATTCCACTGATTGCGGGGTTCTGAATGAAGCTTAACAAACATTTAACTTTTCCACTAATTATAGTTCAAAATTTGCGAGGAATGTCATTTTGGCCTTTGATTATCATCCGTCAAAAAAAATTGTGGTAAAAAATCAAAAGTTGATTGTTTTATAAGCGAAATATTAGGCATTCACTATGGATACAACTGACTACCGCAAGCTGTTGCTAGGATATGCTATTAATTTTAATTGTGTTTTTTTGGACATTGTGAATGATCGTAAACTCAAAAGCATAAAGTGTAATCGAAACCACTAATTTATTCCACTAATTGCGAGGTTCTGAATGAAGCTTAACATGAATAAGTAAAATAAATAACTAGATAAATAAATCTTAACAATAATTATTGTACAATCTCTTACCGCCATATGACAAAATTTAATTAATATTTAAGTAAATATTTTATGATTACTGGTTGATACCGGCGCTTCTTAAAATTATGGTATTATTTTTTTAAATTTTCAATGCTAAATAGCTTGGTGTATCAATATATTTTATAAAGTAGTAAATATAACTACCACTCCTTAAAATATTTGCAATTATTTTAGAGATACATTAAAAGGTACAATTCCTTAGGGATCCTCTTACATACCCGAAGGTAAAAAAACAGTGAAAACTGTACAAATCATGAAAATGTTAAAGATGGGATAACTCGAGCGAACATTCGCTCGAGTACTCGATTATTGAAGCAACCGACATCGCTCGATTGTGAACGAGCGATGGAAGTGATAAGTGACGAGCAACGAACGCAAGCGATCCTAGAATGAAATAAATTGAAATCCAATAATTTTAATGCGACATACTCGATAAAAAGCCGAGTGAATTTTTTACATGCATTGCAGATAGCAAATTTATACGACGTATCCGTTGCGTATCTGAGTAGACAAAATTTTACGACCTACATCGACAATGCTTTGAAATAAACTGAATCAAGCGATCAAGCGAATAGCTCGTCGCTTGCTACTTGCCATTCATCACCGAAAGAATATGTGCTCTGCGCACGCAACTTATTGCTTGACGTTACGAGTACAACAAGCGACGGGCAAAAAACCGTATTTTTAAATACGAGCGATTTTCGCTAGAGCGAACGCTCGATTATTGAAATCGCTTGAAACTCGAGTACTCGATTATTGAAATTAATCGGTTTTCCCATCACTAGAAAATATAACTCACCTGAGTTCTGATCAGTCTTTGATGTGGTTTTTCTCTCCATAATTTTCGGTGAGTGGTTCTTTCTGGTAGGTTTGGCTAGGAACGTTGGGGGTGCCTGCAAGTATGAAAACACCCTATCTTTTATCAACGGTAATAATATTTTTGTTATTTTATTATACACACATGGCCAAAATTATTGCATATAACGATATTTCATTTACATCTTCCTCACAAAATTCGCGAACCGCTAAAGTGCGATGGGGAGGAGCATTATCTGCCCCTAGAAATGGACGCACAATAGGCTCTAAAACGTCTCTAAGATATGAGGCACCTGTCATTGTGCCATCAATAAAAACAGGAGTTCGAGCCCCGTGCATTATACCTGCCCACACCAAAATTATTCTCCCTTGAAACGGGACACGGGGTTGAGCTGCATTCAAGCGTGCTCGTCTTCCAGATGCTCTCCAGACCAAAGTTCGTCGCGAGTCTGATACTCTAGGCCTATAGTTGTTTCATCACTAAATATGACGAAATTCCAATTAGGTCCATTTGCTCTTATCTTCTCAGCCCATTGTAGTCGCGTAGTTTTGTGCTGTAAATTAAGCTTCGGAACACGTAAAGGGCTCCGTAATCCTCTGTCATGGAGTCTTCTTGCTATGGTTTTTCTTGAAACATTTACTCCTTCAAGGCGAGCTAACTCATTTTTTAGCAGTACTAGAAAGCAGGGGATTGCACAGCAATTATCTCTTTCTACCTCTTCCAGGCCGGTCTGTAACCTCGTTTGTCTCCCTTATTTTTTTTTAATATTCGCGAAACATAGCTTTGGTTAACTCCTACAATTTCAGCTATTGCAACTTGCCGGTAGCCCTGTTGAGACAGTGTTACTATTCTGACTCTATTAAACTGTGAAATAATGTTTTTAGGCATTTTAAGACCAAAACAATGGTCAAATTTCTTCCGAAATCCAAGATACCACAAATCGAAATGTGCAAGAATTTGTAATAATATTGGGTCTGAACGAGATAAACATCGGTTACCATATCCATTTTAACAAAAAAATGTTTAGTACAGATTATCAAAGCTATGTATAAAAAAAGCTTTTTTAAATTCCTTTCCGTATATTTTTAACGGATATATGCAATAATTTTGGCCATGTGTGTATTTGTTATTCATGTTAAACGTATAGTATCACATATAAAGTCGGCATCATAATGGAACTTTTTTTAATTATTGATTTTTGCAAAATTTGACTTCGGCGGTAATGGGCGTTGATTTACATTAAACACTAGCTGACCCGGCTAACTTCGTATCGCCTAAGTGATTTTTATTTCAATATTGATGGCACGGATGACTGATTGACCAAATATATGCAAACTATATCAGGAATGATTGAGACGAATCAATATGAAAGTTGCCATTTTTGTTTACGTTTCGATTCAAGTACCTTTTATATTTCTGTACAAGGTGTCCCATTTTCGGGTGTTTTATGGTGTTTCTTGTTTATTAGTAGAGCTACAAAGATGCAGTTTTTACATCACTGTGCTACTTTTATATGAAATTAAAAATGCTACATACAGAATTATTTTCCTAGCCCTCTTAGCTCCTAACATACAAGGCGAATTTGAAAATTATGTCATTTTTCAAGTTCCCTCATATCTTTATCTAGTTCTTCATATCTCTATCTAGATCTTCATATTTATCTAGTCCCGTAGAGTTTTTCAGGTACAAGTGGCGTAACTAGCTTTTCGCTGAGAGCTGTCATTTTTGAAATATGACTAAAACTTTTTTTTTTCTTAAACGGGACACCCTGGCTTTGGCATTGCTGTGAGGGATACCGACCGACTCCGTCGCATAGGCACGGCCTTTAATGTCCCATTAGAGACAATATAAAGGAACCAAACCGCTTTCGAGTAAATTATATGGAGCGCCTCTACGGTGAAGTTTATATGGGAATTGCGCGATAACGCTGTAGGCGAAAATTATTATAGTACATATTAATCTCTAAAATAGAAATAGATAAAAAATGCTTATTGCTGATATTTGTTGGATTATTAATGAGCCATTATATGTAATGTTGTAAAAAAAAAAGATTTTATGATTTTGTCTGGGTAGGCAACGCCTTTTTGCCTACATTATGTGCACGCCACTGTGGAAACCAAGAGGATACTAAAAAACATAAAAATAGCCAAACTGATTAGACAAAAATAGTAAAAGTAAATTTTCGCTTAAAGTTAAAACTCTTTTAACTATATTGCGATGTCGCCAAAAGTCAAATGCCATCAATTCGACCCATAGAGACAATTTCGCGGAAAAAAAATGCATTTCGCCTGCATGAGGATCCTACTTCAGAGATTCGAATTTTATGCGAATAAAGCTTGATTTTCATGCATCCGTTGTCCGACGATACGTTAATACGATATTAATTTTATTGGTAGAATTTAAAGACTTTGATTGGTTAGAAAATAACGCAGTTTTTAAATTTATTGCATTTTCATGCCTCCGATTATCGGATTGGGGTTATTTTATATTTTCGTTTCCATAACGATTTTGCTAACTTATATTTTTATTAAGGTTAGATTAAATTTGTCAAAAAAGTGTCAAAACGTCCGTTATCGTATGAACGGGTCCGATGACGAACTGAAGTAAAATATTTACGGATGAAAAGTGGCGCGAAAACGCTATGACCAATCAGAGCACCGTCGGACCATCGTATCAACGTATAACGGATGCATGAAAATCAAACTTAAAGTCGCGGGCAAAACCTATGTTCTTATATCTAGTAATATATCGCCATCATTATTTTACAGGTTAAAAATTCAGACCACCACAGATGAGGATGACTAGTATAGATTAATAACATAACTTACAACTTTGTCGCTTCTTTGACCGCTGGGCAAGCGCGCGATTCCCGCTTCGGGGCTATCTTCGGGCGGCGGGGGCTGCGTTATCCAGTTGTACTGGCGCTTGTCCAGCGGCAGCCCCCACCGTTCGTACTCCAGCGACTGCGTCCTCAAGGTCTCATAGCAATCCAGACAGACCACAGCATAATCACCGTTTTCCAAAAGAAGCGAATTTTCCGGTTGGGGATGAAACCTCAAAAATGGAAAATCCTAAAAATAAAATAACATTATTATACTCACAGAGATTCACTAAATCCCAGAAAGTAATGAAACCCGAGGTTTGTGTTTGGTTTTTTGTATACAACCACACCGTTAGTCAAAAAGTAGGTATTACAACAATTTATTTTGAATATGAAAAATACACCAAAAATTGTAAAAAAACATTTCTAGTTTTGACATGCAAAATTTCAAAACCAGTAAAACACAAATAACTTTTGTCAATTTTGAATTTCACATTAGTTACTCTGAATTGGAGTAAAAAAAGGCCAAAATTGTGTCAGAAAGTGACAATAACACATAGTCTATTTTAACACTGGTAAATATCTCACATTCTTGCATACTCCATAAGGGCGTGCGCACACTGACCGATCAGGTCGCAACAAGCAAGATAAATGGTAGAAGACGAGTGAGGAAAACGAATGAAGTAAATGGAGAAAAGTAAAGATAGGTAGTGGTACACTTTCAAAACTTGACATGGTAATGTCAACATTACACAATATGTGTTTCTTTGAATAAAAATATTAAGGAAGAAGCATATAAAAAATCTTAGATCCACCGCGATGGGACTCAAAAACCTGGCCGACTTAAATTCCGGTTTATTAGTGCCGTTCTAATTTTATTTAAAAAGTGTAAAATTATGATGTAGGGTAGACGTGGGGTAGACTCAATAATTTGTTGTTCTATTTTACGTTGGGAATAAATGTTGGTAGTTATTAAAATTGTTATAAAAATATACAATTCTAATAAAAATAGATAAGTTATAATAATTATTTATTAACACAAACATCCGATACGCTACTGAAGCAGGTAAGTCAAATTTACCTAAATTCGTTGACATCTAATGTTTGACAAGTAGTAAATAAGAGCAAAAATGCAAGAAAAAATATATAATTAGTTAATTTAAGTGAATTTCTCTCATAAATGCTCGGTTTACTACACGTATGTATATTATATAGTCACTTACTAGCGAAAAGTTATTCCATTATTTCACTCGATTTTTGCCCTAGATCTACCGCACGCTACACAACCAACTATTTTACAGTCTTTTTTGATAAATCGCAATAGTGTCACTGTTAATTTAAGTTCTGCCACAATTTTCATCTAGATTTGCTACCTTTATACAAGTATCAGTAGTAGAATAAATAATAAATAACAAAAAATAAGCTAAATAAAAACTGACAAATTCACGAAATTTCAAATCAAATTGAAATGTGTCAAATGAATCTTCAAACAGAACTGTCAAGGATCCCCACCCTAGAGTCCTTTTTCCGCCCACCATGCATGAATACATGGATAGCATTATACTCCTTTCTTAATCTTTTTATTCAGAGATGTGTTTAGAAATAAAATATTGTTTTTTTCACTCTAATAAAGTAGTAAATGTATTTTCAGATTTATTTATCGTAATACATTTCCAGTTGTGACTGTATTAACACTTTGACTGCCATGCCGAATTCAGTAGAAGGGTTCCGCGCGCCACTTGTATTTTTTATAGAAAATTACTTTAAATGTTTTTTTTAACCCTTTGCCCCGTGCACAAAAATTTAAAAATCTGTCATTGTGACTTTTAGGCTAGTGTATAAAAAATATACACGTGGCGTAGGAGAATAATTATAACATAAATATCCTAACCGAACATAAATATTTTGTACTTTTGTTCATTTAATTTGTTGTTACCATTTAAGTTTTAAGTTTGTTTTATTTCAAATAATGTGTTTTTTAAAGTTATTTTAAGTTTTCTAAGACAAAACTACAAACTATTAATTATGTCACAATAAATATAGTACTTAAATAAAAAATGAACTATAAAAAAAATATTTTTCATTGAAACTCGGCGCTAAAATTATTTTGTCATTCTTCCACGCCACGCCAAACCATATTCCATAAGAAATGCACGTAAAGCGTGCTACTGTAGTCTATAGTCTGTCCAACGACAAAATCCTTGACAGTGATAGATGTGTCTGTCATTTCAACTGCAAAGTAGTTTATTTTATTTTACAAAGAAACAAGTTGGAACAATTGGAACGCATAATTAATATATTTAAATTTTGAGTGACAAGTGATTACTTCAAAATATTATGAAAAAAAAACTGTATGAAACTGAAAAAATCTAATCTTGGTTAATTACCTTTAATCTTATTTTTTTCTGCAGTACTAAAATGTATTATTTACCTATCGTGTGATGTTATTTTACAGATACTCCAGTTTTTGGTACCATATACGAGATGGTATACAACTTTATTTGTGGCTAATACAACTCTCTGGCAAACTGTGTCTCTGGCGGTCTATGTGCACCGAATATTAACTGTAAACTATGGTCTGGGTCAACACTTAATTTTCCCTCGAGTTTTCCTCCACTTAATTTAAAAAAACACAAAACACAAGTAACAACACAGTCCTAAATGCAAAATGCAAAATATTTATCATTTCTATATGACATAATTTGACATAAAATTATAACCTATAATTTGGCAAGAATTTGACAACTCTCAAAAATCTTAAGTCGAGTTCATACGCATAAGCGTCCGTTTGTCGTTCATCGTTGCGTCAAACCAATAATATTGAAATATGATCTGTCACTTTTGAAATAAACCAATAAAACTGGTTAAAAACAAGAGACGACGTATTTATTTTTACGACATGACGTATTTATTTATAAACCCATCCATAGTTAACTTAAAAAATATTAGAAACTTTTTTTAGTGAAATAAATGGATTGGTATGGAAGTCATCTGCTTTTTTTCTGTCATCGTCTGTCGAAATCTTACCTGAGAAAAAAAAACAGAGTATACACACGCCGGATTATTACTGATTGTATGTGTATACTAGAATATACACGTGGCGAACTGGGACATGCTATTGTGTATACTCAGATATACACATGGCAGTCAAAGTGTTAAACAGAGACAAATAAGAATAAAATAAATAAAAATTAAAAAATTAAATAAAAGTAATAAAATATATTAAATAAACACTCAGTTACCTTAATAAGAAGTGCCCGGATTCGTTTTCTGTAGGTCGTCACTCCGCAGACGTAACAACAATAATCATGAGTGTTGTAGTCCCGCCTGTCCGCTGGAGCTGCGTGATTTCCCTGCGTCTCGTGCCTGTGCCAACCAACAAAAACAATAATTTTAATTTAAACAAAGATAGTTTATAAGAAAATACCTCCTCCACTGGTGCACTAAACTATGGTAACAAAACGTACAAACAAGCGCGCTGCCGTCTTCCCTCAGTTGCTCGGCGTTGGGAGGACTTTTGTGACGCAATAAGGCTGGAAAATACGGAGCATTCCTTCCTGAAATTCAAATATTAAAAGATATTAAAAGCCATAAGGTAGGAAACAAAGTGTACCAAAAAGCTCGCCACAAATGGGAACAGTTTTTATTATTTTTATTTAATTTGGAAAAAATGTGTATACGGAATTTCATCAGCATGTCCAATAACAAAACAAATCAGTTAAACCAAAGTTAAACATGTCATGCTACAGCTGTCAAGACGATAAATTACAAAATTTCTTTACACAATATGCAAAAGGTGGGACTAGGTGAGGTGACAATATTGAAAAATGTCAAAGCGAAAAGTTGTTCAGGATTTAATTTACTATGTATATATGGATTATAATTTACTATGGATATATCACTAGTCTTGCTAGTTCTGCCACATCTACAGTACAATTGCCAAATTCTATTTCTGAGTCTTGGATATCATAATCAGCTGGGTTTTTGCATATGTCAAACTTATATTTTATTGCTCTTATGTATGCTGAAGAATGAATGTAGAATGTTTAGGAGGGGGGTTAATCACCGCCACCTTACAGATCTAATGTGTGTTCCCCGTTCTTCAGTTATAACGGATTATAAGTCATCATACAGTCTCAGGGCTTTGATAGAAGCCAGTATCTGAGACGGCTCCACAGAGGCCAGCCTCTCCATTTTCAACATCAGCCATACCAGTTTATGGCACGAACGGTTGTCGTCTTGGTGCACTCAGTGATAGAGTGTTCTGGTGTTTCCTTATTTTCTTCACAGAATATGCATTACCCGTTGTTTCTCAATCTACTGAGGCGTTCGTTGAGGAGACTGTCCTGTTAGAAACCCCTCGACAATCCGAAGATTGTTCTTACTTAAATCAAGGAAAATCTTTGATTTTTCTCTGTCGTAAGTTCTAAAGAACTTTTTCGAGCGTCTTAGACCGTTGGCGATTCCAGGTTACGGATGGTGTCCTCCAGGTTTGTTCGCTCCTTTTCTAGCTAGATCGTTTGCTTTTTCATTGCCTTCGATCCCTTGGTGAGCAGGCACCCAGCATAGGAGGACTTTTATTTTCTTTGCCTAATTTGCTGAAGAGATAATGCTCAAGAAACTCCACATACATTTTTTTAACTTAAAAAAATGGACAAATGTTACAAACTTTTTTGCAGATTTTGTATTAGTCTACAAGTATTTATGGAATTAATATAGTATTATTTACCTTGAGGTTTGCTGTAAACTACCCTGGCCAAAGTAAACTCCGAATGTAAACCACAGAGGAAACAGTATATACTGCTGCCACCTGTCGTCGTATTGCTACAAACCGTTCTTTCACTGTTTGTACTTGGTGGTGTGGGAATTCCCCTATCCCCATTCATTAACGATGATTCTGGTAGAGGTACGTCATACCTGAAAAATCAGTCACAAATGAATATACGTATAATTTAGAAAAAAGTAAAATGATTCCAGGCACAAATCTATTTTCAAAAAATACTGCGATTACAATTTCAAAGACTAGTATTGACATCCTTCAATAGTATGGTATATTCCTTACAACTTACCTTCTTCTCTCTAACGGAACTCTATCAGCTTCAAACGTTTCCCATTGTTGAGCTAAGTGATTGACACATCTTGTACAACTTAGTACTCGCCCATGAGAATCCATACAACTATTTTCTAAAGTCCTACCGATCTAGAAAAGAAAACAGTTCCAATTTCTCTAGCATATACAAAAGAACTGTCTATTACCTTCGACAGGCAGGGAAAATGCATGGCATGGGAGTTCATCCCTTCCGATGACGTGCTGATCCATTCCATCTGTTCTAATGGATACAGACCGGCGCATATGTAACAGCGATAACTCTGCGAACTAGGGTGGCCGTTCACGTCGACCAATGGCGAGGTGGTTCTGGCGGCAAGAGCAGCCTAAAAAATGTGTAAAAACAAATCTACTTTAGGGCAATCATGAATGAGAACATTTAAAACTTTTGTTGGAATTTCGGTCATCTGTAAAACAGATAGTTTTTATGCATACGAATTCACAACGTTTCTGCGAAAAACCATATGGCGGCACAAAATTCATAAAAAGTATGAAAAGTTTTAATGACTACCTTTTAAAATCTGACGTCATTTTTCGCAGAAAACGTTCGAAATTGGTATGCTCTTCTACAACAGTCATTAACAAAAATCAGTGTTTTTAAACGAGCTTTACAAATTAGAAAAAAACGCTCTTTATAAAATGTTTTTAGGCGTAAAATAAGTTTTGTTAGTTACGGCTCTTTACCTGTCCATCCCATCATTAAAAGTAGAGCTTAAAAATATGACAAATAAATTCTCTTAAAATTTGTTCCTCGAAAAAATAGCCCGCTTCGCTTCTGTATGACTAGCAATTCTGTGGTATTCTTCTCCACATAACCAAAAATGTCTTTTATCAAAAATATTGTGCATCAAACTGTGTTATTGTTACAAGAAATATTGTGTTACTGTAGAGAGATATTTAATCTTTTTTTATTTATTATATAGTAATTAGTATTACTAGACAATGGTTAAAAATAAAAACTAAATATAAATCGAATTAATTACCTTCAAGGTTGCTCTGTGACTTTTTGTCATTTCTATGTTTTGTTTTCGATTTTTAAAATCAGAGAATAAAAGTACACTGCATGACGAACACTAAAACTAGACTGGCAAAAAGTGTTTTGCAGAAGAAACGAGATATACACGAGGTTATCGCTAGTAATAAAAAATATATTATAAAGCGAATGTGTATGGTATAAGAATGTATTTTGGGTTAGAGGTCGATATTTGGTTTCATAACAGACGATGATTTTATTTGTTATTGTTTGAATTAAAATCACAAACACGCGAATTGTTTATTGGTGAATAAAATATTTGAGAGCGTAGTGGTTTTTATACAATTAGGAATAATAGAAAATATTAAAATTTGGGTAAAACATGATATATCGTCGAAAAGAAACTTCATTTGTGTTTCGATTTTTTTAATAATATACATAGGCTTGAATCTAAAATAACAATGATTTGAGGTATTTTATAACAAACGAAATTTTCGAAAAATATAATATACCGGGTGTTCCATTTAAAATAACAAAGATGCTACTACTTTTAGTATGAAGCGGCAACAATGTACCGCTGAAAATAATTTAGACAGATGGAGAAGCTACCTTTAGCAAAAATCCAAATTTTCAAAAAAATCCTATCACCGACCGGTTCTCCATAAACGTCTAACGTACCATGACTGTAAATCACCCTGTCTGTATACCCAAATTTTATTTACGTACCCGTCAAATTACCCACCGTCCATCACTGGTTGATATTACATTTATTTGAAAAACTAACGCTTGTGACTGTTGTAGGAGAAAATGTAGATAGCACATGAAAAGAACTATATTTTACCTTAGAATTCCTATTTTCAGCTAAAGCGGCTTGTTTCTTTTTGCTAGTCACCACATTAGCTTGGCTGATATCGTAGGGTTTGTATCTAATATCCGACCCTGCGGAATTGGCAGGACTTTTGACAGTACTCGGCCTTGAAGTAGTGGTGTTGACGTACTGCACTTCAGTCACGCTCACGTGATTGTTTGTTGGAGTTTGCTGTTGTGCTGAAGGATCACCTCCAAAAACCTAGAAAAAGCACCAATGGTTTAGTATAAGACAAAAAAGAGACGATACAGTGGTCGTTAATAAAAAAAAACCAATACTGTCGCTTCTGTAAAGCTAAGGTATTACATTGTAAGTCGTCTGATTTTTTTTATACCCTCAAGTAAGTTTTGAAATACCAAGAAACTAATAAAAGAAAAAATTAATAAACAAAATTCGAAAATAATGGCAATGGAATTTTGATAATTTACCTGATGTTTTTGAGGAATGCTTTTGTAGCAGGTGGAACAAACTTGAACCATACCTTGAGGTGTAACTGGTCTTGCACCAGGAGGCGCCTTCAACGATTGTATAAAAGGAAAATACGGTTCCTGCGAGACAAACAGTACTTAGTTTAGAATTTGTAATTGTTGAATAAATTTGACATGTCACCTTCTCTGCATTCGGACAACAATACAACAATCTGATGCTGGAAGATGGGTATTCCAACGCGCATGTGTAACATATAAATGTAGTAGTGTCCAGTGCAGCACTTTGTCTTTTTCTTAACGTGTATTTCCTTTCAGGATGAGGTACGCCTATAAAAAAATCACAGTATGTCATACTAAATCATATCACTATCAAAATATTAACCATTGTATAAGTGTCAAAATCACTATCTTGTCGAACGAAAAAAAATTATAATAATGTCAATGTCAAGAACGCTGTCACCTATATTTTGACGTAAAGAAACGTAGTATACACTATAACACTATATGTCAGACTAAACCTGAAGTAAACACGGAAAACAATTGAAATTCGAAAAAAAAACTAAGTACATACTGATTAAAGATAAAGATAGTAGTAATTTAACTAGATTTATCTGGCTTCTGAAATTTAAATGCGGTGTTGATATAGTGCAGTAGTAAATAAGAATATACCAGGAGGTATTGAATAATATCCGAGGCAACGATAAGCATAATATGACTGTATTTTTTAAAAATATAAATATTAATTAACTTAAAATGTACATTCCTCTTAAATATTACCTATCTATCAGTTTACATATCAGTTATGGTACACAGCGTAGTTGAATTTATTATTTAAGATTTAATATGTTCTTATCGGAAAATTGTAAATACTGCCTTTTTGATTTTGATCGAATTTTTTTAGATATTGCGGCGGATATCAGTCAAATTAATTAAAAAAGATCGATCGGTGGAAGAAATTCCTAGTTTTAAAAATTGTTTTAAACGGATCCTCTAGACTTGGGCTCATACGTGTTAAAAGTCCCCGGGTTATAATATGCCAATTTTTTCACCAGTGTTACAAACTCCGGGATTTTATCCCTAAATTTGGGCAGAAAAAATCTATACGGGGATTTTTTTAGGGAGTAAAATTTTTTGGGGATAAAATTTCAATGGAATTTTACTGCTATTTTTCAAAATTAATAGGAAAGTATCAATAAAACAAAATAATTTATTTATTTTAATCACCGAATCTTGGATAACACTTGTGGGGATTTTAGTTGTTTGGATTTAAGAAGGTTTGATATTGCTTTAATGGAAAGTTTCGAACAGTTGGCTATATTGCTGTGATCAGACGTTTCAAGGTCAACCACTTAAAACACAACAAATTCTTTATTTATTATTATTTATATTTTTAGGGGGTTTTCGGGATATTTTTTAGGTTTTTAGGGATATTTTGGGGATTTTTGATGCGGGTGTTTTAGATTTTTAGGGGGATAAATTTTTGAGAGTTGGGAACACTGTTTTTCACTATTTCGCTTATATCTCGAAAAAAAATGATATCTAGTGGAAAAACAATCTATAGACAAAAAAGCTGAAAAAAATTTCTATAAAAATTGCTCTATACATTTCTGTTCCGGTCTTATGGTTTCCGAACTACGACCTTGATAAATTTGGATACTAAGTCAAATGGCATATTCCAATTCCGTACAAACTTCTTTTCACTGCATGTTTTTCGTTCAAATAGCGTTAACGAAATACGATATCATGATTTTTTTAATTATAACTATTAGTATATTTGATACCAATTTTAGTTACGTAATATAGGGTGCGATTTTTAAATTCATTTTTGTCAACCATGGACATATTTGGCGCCAAGCTGATTAATTATCTGGAATTTAAATTTCACGTTGGGATTCGGGTGGCAGCTCTGCTGTAAAAATGTCAAGTTGCCACATTTATATAATTATTTTCTAACATTTGATTTTTTTCTGACATTACGTTTTGACACTTTAGTTTTGTATTACGAGTTTTTGGTTTAAATAGTGTTGTGATACTTTAAGCTTAAAAATGTTTACTAGCAGACCGTGCAGTCGAACATACAATCTTTTTTAGTGCGAAGTGTGCAAGATAGCTTAATAGCCATAAAAAATATCGCAACTTTATTAAAATATTTTGAACGGGAAAGCGATAGTAATGGCCCTTTATAAGTGCTGTTAAGCAGGTGAGTTTTATTGATGTAAATAATAACTGTTTATATATTTATAATTAATTTATTTTTGTTTCCTATAATATTTTGATTAAAAGAAAATATGTAAAAGTGGACAACGCTGTGCCGGTCATACCACGATCGATATTTTTTCGTGGTATCATAACTCTAAATTAGACAGACGTCAAAATAACATCTGTCCTAATAGCAACCCAGAATGGTGGCGTTATTGAACTTTGCCATGTTAAAAAAAGAACATTATTTTTTGCCGACATATGATGACAAAAGCGCAGTGTTCCATGTCGTCGAACAAAACAAAATATTAGAAATATTTTTCTTGTCCTCCCAAAGTTGGTAGAAAAAATACTTTTTGAAAGTCCCCCGTATTTGGGACACTTGAAAGAAACCACGAAAATTAATATGTACTCAAAGCAAAACTTTTATTTACCAAGCGGGACGATAACATATCTGGATATTTCCGGATTTTTCAATTGGATAAACGGCAAACACTGATAACCTTTTTGGGTATTTGGCCTGCGACGTTGTCATATTGAACACTATCGTCCCCTTAGGTTCATTAGAACTTGACCGATTCTTATTTTAAAAAAGTTCATCATAAATTAATAAAAAAAAAACGAACCTAAATTAGGGATGCCCAAAATAGATCGATATATCAAAACGCCGATACTGAAAAACTATCAAAGATCGAAATATTTTCACTACATATTCTGAAAATGACATGGTTCCAATATTTGAGCGAGTCACCAGTATTCTAGAACGCAGTTCAATCGTTCTTGGAAGAACATTAATAATTTTTCCGTTGTAAACGTATTCTGTAAGTGGTATTTAATATAAGTTGTTTACTAGAATGTCGAGAAATTATGTTATTAATTGATCGATTATCGACTGAAAAGGGGGTCCACGATGCGGGTATTTAGGACAAATATTTCGCAACTTAGAAAACTGGATCGTTTGTTTATCAGGATATTTAAAAAATAATACTTATGGCAGCGTGATCAAAAATATTTTACAAAATCGACTTTTTTATTTTGCAATATCATTAAGCCCCGTCTAAACATAATGTTTTACCTGCCAGTTCTGCGTGTTACGTAAACCGTCTAGAAAACTGACGGAAACTCTCAAGACGGTCGTCCGTCTAAAGGAGGATTCTCATACGTCTGATATCCGACGATACGATATTCAGTTTATTGGTTGAATTTAAGTACCGTATAATAGAAAAAAAGGGAGCCAGCGATGGCTATAAAATGAAGATCGCTGCCATTTTATGTGTAAAATTATATGGGGAATGTCATTGATCGTCATTTCCAAGCTAACTGGACGCCGTTTTTTTTTCGATCATACGGTACTTTGATTAGTTAGAAAATTCCAAAACTCTACATTTATTGCATTCTCATGCCTCCGTTCATCGGATAATACGAAGGGCGATTGTGATTGGTCAAAAATATTTGACAATGACCATTCACAATACGATCTCAATTATCATTTCATGTTTCCATTTCCATAGCGGTTGCCCTGAGTTTTACTTTTTTATTTACCTATACTCTTTAAAATATAAAATTATAAACAGTATGTCCCCGGATCGTCTCTACTAGAGGATTTTTTTTATGCTTTAAAAATTTGCTTGTTCTAAAATCGTTGATCCCGTTTATACTTTCCTGAATTTCCATACCGTTAATACAAAAATAAGTCTAACTAACTAATTAAGACGCATTTGTGTTGGTAATATTATTTTTTGGTTTTCATAAGAGGAGAATTTTTAGAAAATAAATTTAGATTGGAAAGCTTGTTTTTTCGCCAAAACTTGTAATTGTTTTGGATCGCGTCCGTTGTAGAGCGCTGCTAGCAATTGATATTAGGGTTTCCGGAACCGGAGCTGTTTTTCGGAACCGGGAATTTCGCTACCGCGCCACTTGGGAACCGGGATTTCCCGTTCTTTTTCGGTACTTACTTTTGTTCAATGATGGTGCAATTCACCAATCAGAAAGCAAGGAATGGATTTCCAAAGTAAAATCGGTACAAAATTGAGATTTCTAATGAAAATATGCAGAGCTGCAAGCTCACAGAAAACTTAAGTCTTTTTTTGACTATTTAATGACTTAAATCATTTGATTTTCGATAGAACGGCGGGGGGGGGGGGAAGTAAGTAATGCCTAGCTATAGCCTATATGCAAAAGCAGCTGTGGCTGTATTGGTAATTTTGTAAGGCGGTCGCTTGTATTGGGATCTAATAATTCTACAAATATAGATTTTTTTATATTTTTTTCATAGGTGTCGAGGTGTAGCGAAAGGTTGGTCTAGTTAATAGAAATAATAATTTCTCGGTTATTTGTCAAACCCTTGACATACAAAGACAGGCATCAGCTAGTGTTTATATATTTCTGTTAACTATATTTATATCATCAAAAATATATATCAAAAATATTGTTATTTAATTACTAGCTTGTAGACAAAATTCTGTTTAATGAACTGTAAAATTTATTTATTTATTATTTATGTTTTATTAAAGTTACCCTGACATACTAATATATCAGTGTAACTTTTAAAATAAATAAATAATTCATTAAAAAAATATAAATATAAACAATATTTAGTGCAGAAAACGCGAAGGCGCTAGGTTAAACGGTAGTCTTGATTAAGGACACAAAGGGGTGCTTTGACCCAAAGTTTTACTATAAGTTTCATATCTATCTTAATAGATGGTTATTCTCTTTGATCTATGGGAAATTTCAACTTAATTTTGATTACAGTTGAGGGTTGGAACCTTTGGTGTTACACAGCAAAATAAAACACTAAATCACCACAATACACCAAAACACTTTTACTTTTACACTGGACGCGCGTTTCGCTATTGTATTGTGGTGATTTAGTGTTTTATTTTGTTAATTTTGATGTTTTTATATTTTGGTGTAAAACGATATGTAAATTTGGAAAACCATAAAAGTGATTAACCATTTTAAAATAAGCAAAAACTTTTATGAAGAATGCATTTTCTCAAAGAAAAAAAAAGTATTTCCTCTTGCAGAGACAATCCAGCAACATACTACATTAAGGTTGATTCTCATTATACATTCCGTTTATGCTCCAAATCCGATCCGTAAACGTTCCATTTAAATTGATTCTGTTCACACTATTTGTTACATTTCCGTTCCATATCCTTTCCGTCATGGAGTTTTTAATTTATATGCTTTTCGGATTTTTATTGTCACATTACTTTCTGACAGATTACAAAGTTATAGAAATGGTTATATGTAGAATGTGATATGATAACGCTACAGAATAAATGGTTAGGCTTTTTCTCAGACAAATTGGTATTAAATACCTACTGATTGGAAACAGCATACTGGAACCTAAAAATGTCATATATTATCTTAAATCTTTAAACGTATGACAGCTGTGCGACAGTAAAAGCAGAAAATGATTAGCAGTATATAAGACCAATGATGAAAAAAAATTGCCGCTGAATGCTACTAGCAACGGATTAAAACTAAGGTACATTCTGAAAGTTTTACCTGCGGTTTTAACAATTATACCGTTGTGTTTAGTTAAGTTGAAAATAAAAAAAAAACATTGACATTTACTACAAAATTGTATATATGGTTTAAATTTTATTTGTAAATACACAAAAAAATAATTGTAAAATTGTATCATTTAGTAATAACCACTAAATATCTCTAGACAATTTTGTGAAACTATCCAAAATCTTAAATTTCTAAAACACGCTTATTGAAGGTGCTGTAAGATATCTATATTATTTTTTGTAAATTGATTTATATTTTCTTCAGTATAGGCAAAACGAAGGTTGTGTTGTAAACCTGAATGATTTCGCCAGTTTTCTAGATAGTTTTCCATCTTAAATCACTTCAAGTAAAGCAAACCGTTCTTTTAATAACTATACAAATAAAATATCTTAGCCGTACCTTGACCTTGAAACGTGTGCCACTGTTTCAAAAGATGTTGCTGGCAGTCGACGCAGGCCTGCACTCTGCCCTGCGAATCGATAGGCCTGCTCCTTGCTGGTCTTGGATGTTCTATCAAGCTAGGAAAAAAAGGTTGCAAAGGGTTGTCCGGCGATTGCTTAGAAGCTATAAAATCCAGACTGCCCCTCTTGAATTCATCGCCGCAAACGTAACAAACCTGAAAAAATAGAGATGTGCTTTTATCGACGAATTAAAATATCGAAAGCTAGGTACTACGTGTAAATACGGTGTCCCAAAAATAAGTGCAAGTATTTTAAGGGGTGGTAGATATGGTCAAAAGAAACATATTTTCTTTTTACCATTTTTAAAATAAATTGAAAATAACCGAGTTATTTAACTTTGAAAGTTTAAAAAAAATTGCGACATTTTGAGAGCCGCAATAGACAATCTCCCGGATCTCGGCTCGTTAGCCGCCCGCTGTTGCCGCGACAAGAAAGACTATAAAAAACTACTTACAAAATTCCATACCATTAAATGGATGATCGCTATTTACTACTTTCGCTAGCCCTACTTCCCACATTCCACGAAATAAATTAAAAGAAAAAAAAAACTTGCCAAACATTAAAAAAGGATATCCCGAAAGCAGATCGATATAATTGCAAAGCTTTTTTTTCCATTTTACCAGTCTTAAAACTGCCCTTAACACTACACTTAACTTCACTACAATTCTTGACAACACGTGATTATGCACCTGAGGATCTAAACTTCCAAAATTCCTCAAATGCTGAACCACACTCACAGAGTTTACACTTGATAACTGTCAGTCTGACCGAAACGTTGTGTTAATAAAAATAAATAAAGACAATGGATGTCCGAAATTCTTTTATTTTCAGTATACTCACAAAGGTTCGAGTATTCGTGACCTATCTATCCGGATACTCTTCGGAATAAAGCCTCCAAGCTTCCGCAGCTATTTCACCTGCCAGGAGGAAGTATGCCAAATTCACAGTTTAGGCAGAGTTTAGAAGCTAGTTTTTCGGATTTGTATAGGCCATCGCGATCTACTGATACCGATTACCGACACAAAAATATGCATTAACGAACATTTTAAACACAATCTCCAATCACTTTCTGGAGTTTTAAAAGCTCGATACTATTATAATGATTTCTGATAGTCGAACATGCTGATCATCTTATTTATTATTAACCAAAATTAAACTGAAATCAATAAGCCAGCGACATCTATAGAATAGCGGATTAAGCTTTCTTTTAAAGACAATTGGCACTGTGGGGTGCAAGGCAAGTCGTATTAGACGCCGGGAGCGGTATAGAGGGCCCTAAAGCGCTGATCGGTATTTACGAGGTCTCGGGGGTTCCCAAAATCTTTTAAATAATGTAAACAAACCAAAATCAACGTATGTTGTACGTGTACCGCTTAAAGTTTTGGCACCTTTGGTTTAATTTTCTTTTGTGGGAGAGTTCAGTGGAGGTTTTAAGTAGTTATTAAAGCAAGTTAACACTTTTTGTTGTATTTGTAAGTTTAGTGTTTAATTATTATGTGAAATATTTTAAATAATATTTTGCAAGTGATAGATTTGTGATGTTCAGTTTAATAGATATTTGGGGTTGATGTGTAATGGTATATGTTGGATAAAAATATTGATAAATTTTCATCAAAAGAGTAAGCTCAGAACTTAATATTTAAAGGTTATAATTGTTGATTGAAACGATTGAAAACATTTCCTAATATGGCGAAAAAAGAATCTCTAATAATTGTTAATATTTATTTTTTCAGCTTACTTAACTGTAAAAAGTATTTAAAACATTGCGCGTTTTCCTAGAATTAGTATAGCAATCTCCACTAATATGAATAAAATTAGTTTTTCTATTTTTCTGCAGAAATTTAAAATTACTGTGAATTTATAAATAAACATGCAGAATGTGGGTATGGTAGGAAGATGCAACATTGCACTCTCTCCGAGATTCTCTCTATGTGCGGTCACATATTATACAGATTATAAACTTATCGTCAAAAGCATTGTTTTTTGTGGTTCCAATTTTCGGAGTCGCGCACTAGTTAAGTTACTAGTTTGCGCACATAGCACGCCCATTATGGCCTCTAAAATTGTGCACAGCGCCTGTGACCGGCCCAGTTATGACGCTGTTTAAACGCGAGTTTATTTTTACGCACAGGAAATTTTACTCGTTTGCTCATCGTCATAAAAAATAATTTTCGTACCACGAATTAGGAACAAGATTTTTATCTGTATACTTATAGTATACCTAATCTGTGGTACGGTAACCGAATTTCCGGAGAGTGAACAGTGGCTAAAGTTTTTCAAAATTTTCCGGAAAATGTCAAGAAACATATAAAAATTTTCAACATTTTTTTCGCAAAAACAAACCTCATTGGCGTGTTTCTGGGGTTGAACTATACCACCAGTTAAAATACTTGCACTTATTTCTGGGACACCCTGTATATTGATGTAACAAAATATCCATATTCTAGTTTTTTAACATAGCTTACCTCGGTTACTGAATTCTTATCGGGCATGCTGAGGTCCAAAATGTCCGTCCCAGTTGACGAGTTCGAATTTTGACTGTGGAAAATGGGCGGTACAGAGACGGACTGCACAGGAACAGATACTTGTTGCTGGGGGTGGGTTAGGTCCAGAGCCCCCTCAGGGACCATCTCGTCTCGATCTTGGCCACCAGAAGCTATTTGTAAGGCCACCTGAGAGAAATTATTGGGAAATTCACTAAAAGAAATCAATAAGTGGATGAATGTTAAATGAAATGTAGATAACTCACAACAATAATGTTTGACGATTAACCAAACATCGTAAAATCCTATACAGGGTCAAAGTTTACTAAATAAAATATAAGTTCCGTCACTTGTGCCGGCGGCAGGTATCAAAAGCCGCTTCACGCACGTGTTTCCCAGTGTATTACTGGTGTGTGGACTTTGGACCCAGCATACACGGCGGATCACGTTCGGCGTATTACTCTGATTTTGGCGTTATTACAGAGTGGTCTCGCATTTTTAAATTATTTTCATATATTCATTAAGAGTAGGGTTACCAGACGTCCGGATTTTTATAAAGTCCGATTGGGTCGGACGGATTTTTCATATGCGTCCATATTTTAATGTTCCATTAAGAAATGTCGCAATAATGCAAAATAATATATTAGTTTTAATAAAATTAGTTACTTAAAAATCGTCGATAAATTAAGCAGTTACATTGTTTTGCTTCTATAAGTTATAAGTTTTAAAATTTATAAAATGTATTTTTTTTTTCAAACACAAAAGTATTAATTTTTTGCGACGTGATTGACAACATAAAAACATCATTTTAACGCTTAGGCATAAAAGTATAGCACTTCGCCTAAGCACAAAAGTACGAAAATATATTATTAAACTGACAAAGTGTCAAATTCAATGAGCGTTTCGCCTAAGCACAAAAGTACGAAAATATATTATTAAACTGGGACAAGTGTCAAATTCAATGAGCGTATAGTTTCTCGATATATAATTACTTACAAAGGTATCGCTTTTAAATCTTTTTATATTATTTGGGACGTTTGAAATTGTTTAAAATTATGTGTCGTTTAAAAAAAAGTAGCATGTTCTATTCGAGTAAAAATGATTTTTTGTGTCCTGCCTGAATGTCAAACCTATAGTCTTCGCCACAAAAGGTATCATTTTTACTCTTAATTTTTAAGGACAAGTTTTCATCTGGCAACCTCTAAATTAAGAGCCAAAACACACGAGGCGGTTTATAGGCGTCGCGACTTTGATCCCAGTCCCAGAACATTAAAGTCCCATTAAGGAGCCGACTCCACGGCTGCACAGACGCCTGCGCAGCGACGCCCGTAAACCGCGTCGTGTGTTTTGGCTCTAAGTCCAGAATAGCATTATATTCATAGAGTTAAAAATGTTATATTTCAGGTAGAGATGCAGTAAAAAAAGTATTTTTTAGACATGGGCGTGTTATGCTTTGTAGACCGACGATATATCTATAGATTTGCATTTCAGAAAAAAAAGAAGTTTGGTTTGGTTTAATTTTTCACAATAATTATGTTAGAATTCTAGAAGGATAGAAGCTTCAAAACTATAAGCCCTGGCAACTAAATAATCAGCGAAACAAAATCTCATAGAAAACTTTAATTTACATAAACTGAATCATTCCTAACCTCGTGGAAGCCCATCAAATTTGGATAAATGAACAAATTTCAGATTGTTACGTTTGTTGCATTTATTATAATTTTTTACAATATGTTCTAATTCAAAGGAAGAATAGACAGGTCAGATAGGTATATTTAGTTAAAAATACATAAACAACTTATTGTATAACATTCTCTTATTTTCTAATTTAAAATAAAATGAAAAAAAACTGATAGTTAAGAACTGGTTTCAGTTGACTTTTAAGCGGGACTTTTATTAAATCGTGGTTACAACAAATTAACTTAATTTGAGTCACGCAAAAGCCATATTTCAATGAGTACAAAATAAATTGACACATTTAATTTAGTTATATACAGAATGATCCATTATTTTTTATACCAGAAACCAGATGAAAACAAAAACCAACTAGCCGATATATAAAATTTTTTGGGTTTTTAAAATCAAAATTTAATTTGTTTTAATATCAGTTTTATAGACGTACATTTCCAATAAAAATAAACTGGGTGTATGAATCTGCAACCATTACTGCTAAATCCTTATTTGCAATTCTATTTACACCGTAAAATTGCAATAAACAAACAAAAATATCGTTCTAGCTTTTCGAATTCGTCCTTGACAGCGTCGCGAGACAATAATGATGAGATGGTATAAACACTGTCACTATCTCGTTTATCGAATCATATTAGTTATTTCACCATTATTTCGAACACTATTAAAATCGAAAAAGTATTGCAAAAAGTCGACTTGACAACGTCGCTGTATAAATCGTGATGACGGGTTGAAAAAACCAAAGGGCGGCAAAACAAAAACCGTTTAAAACTGAGGCTGATTCATAAAAAACAAATGAAAATCCAGATCAGTCACGATTCTACACCGTTCAAAAATAAACTACTAGTGGCTAGAAACAAACAACGAACGTTGCGGGCGAATTGAAAAAGAAACGGGCATATGTTAGGTGAACCACAAAAAATTAAAAAAATTAAAAACTTATATTTTATACAGGGTAAGATTTCTACGATGTTGTCTATGGGTAACACAGCCTCATTGAGGAACTTTATCTGAAAAGCTTTTGGCTAAAATAGCTATAATGAATTAGGGAGCATTTAAACTAGCCGAAATTTGTTTCTTTCAAAATATCTAGCAAGCCATAATTTTTTCTGCAATTGAAACGCGTACATGTTTATGACCCCACAAAACTTTAATTATTTCCCCATTTAACTGACTCTCTATCTCCAGTAGTTTTGAGATACCCATAGAGAACATCGTAGAAAAAACTCCACCCCTGTATAAAATAATCGTAGGTAACGCAAGTCTCAAGAAAGATGGTTTTGTGCAACGTTTCGCGGATTGATACACTATATAAAACAAATAAACTCGAAGTACCTGTGTCTACCGTTTGATGTGGTACTAACTTGTATTTTTGATTCGAAATCGCATACTGGTCATCTAATTTTGAACGCCCCGTAGAAAAATCTGAAGATCCCTATACGCAGCCACACCGCGTGATAGCGATTTTTTATCTTCTATTTATTTTGAGTACATATCAGGATTAATCTAAATACTTTTGGGTTGTCTAGCGATAAACAGTGAAATTTTGTAAATGACTGTAAAAATTTAATAGCTTTATGTTACAAAAATATAGCAATCCCCCCCGTGCCGCGATGCCGGATACAATATATAACACATAAAGATATATTATTTCTCTACGCATCTGTATCAACAGGAATTACTGTACTCGATTTTAAAAACTATTTTAGTGGTGATGAGAACAACGGCCTACGGTCGAGTCGGCCGCTGCTGGCACGTATACGTAGACGTAAAAAATATAAGAAATGCGCATGCGTACGTAAACGTTTACGTGTGTTTTTAGTCTGTGTCGTTGTTCTCTTATTAGCAAAATATGTATAAAATACAAACCTTCGTAAACTTCTCAAAAGTGTCATCTTATCAGTTTTATTTAAATTATATATTACCGAGCCATGTAACGAAAGGTGTTAATATTTTCTGCACACTACTACATACAACAATAAAAAATATGTCAATACGGCCGCATTTAACTACATGAAGAAATGTAAAGAATATCGATAATAAACTGAAAACGGAATGCAGTAATACGTCCACTGTGTCATTGAAAATACGTAAGAATAGTTAAATTTTCGTGAGATATAGACGATTTTTACTGAAAACTTAGGTTCAGAATAATTTCAGAATGTACACAGGGTGGTCCAAATTGTATTCAGGAGACTTCGGCAGCATATTCTCCAGGTAAAAATAAGTAAAAAACTCTCATGGATATAATATGTCCTAAATGGGGCTTATTTTCGGAGATACAGGGTGTAGTTTTATTTCGATTTTTTCGAATAATTTCTGAAGTAACGTCAATATCTGGATGAAAATTGGTGTCTGGTAGTTTTTTGACATGAGAAATTTGATTTTGATGCCAATATGACTTCTACTAGTAGAGGGCGCCACCTACATATTTTTTAACTGGTTTGAAGAGTAATAACTTTTCGTCCGTACCTGTATAAAACTACTGAGTAAAAAAAATTATATTTACGACGTGTTTTACGTGAAAAAGGTCTCTTGGTAAAAATCGCTAGGAGTAATGGTTTTCGAGATATTTGGAATCGAAATTATCAATACCTGTCATCATTGACATAAATTAAACATTATGACGAAATAGTTATTGACTGAAATAAATTTGAAATGATTTCAATATTGAGTGCCATAGCTCATCATTTGATCGTCTAATGTTTTCCATGTCTTGTCTTGGCCGGTTAAAAGATGTCTAAATGGTAATTTTAACCATATCTTAATTTTTTTCAAATGGAAAGAGGATTGCTCATTAGTATATTTGGAAAAAGTATTTTTTTACGAAATTTCATGCCACACACTTGGTATTTCGAGTCAAATTGTCGTTATAAACCGCGTGTTACACTTTCAAATAAATCTTATGTGAAACTGTTAAAAGCTGACATATGATATGTCTTTCTACTCAGAGTATCATTTTCTATCGAATAACGTAAAAAAAATACCGAGGATACCATTTAAACATCAAAATTTGTTGACATTTAATAGTATCAGCTTTGAATTTTTTAGTGTACGTAATTCGTGTTGGAAAACCATATTACGCACTCATGGAATACTGCACTCGTGCGTAATATTATTTTTTCCTAAACACTCGTTACGTAATATACTTTTACATTATTTACTGTTGATATTGTGTAGCTTTATTTTTTGTGTTTGTTTTTAAAATTTATTTTATCTTTTTTTATCTTGCCATGTCTAAATATTTATATGTAATACACCAATAAACTGATAGTATATTTTTTCTTTTGTAGATTTACCATTAGGTATTTTTGAAATACCCCACGTTCCCCTGCACCTTGTCGCACATTGGGATCGGTAAAAATTCGGCTTCTATTTATCCCGGCTTCCACTCCTGTTTTCATCGAAATCCGGCGTATCCGACGAGGCGGCTTCTGGCTTTTGATACGCGATTTTCAAAGTGCCGATGCTAAGTGACCGAACTTATATTTTATTCTGTA